TCCGACGAGGAAGGTATGTTCGCGACGGCAAAGAACCTTCTTGGTTCGTCACAACTGCTGCATTTCCCGTAGTCCTCGACCATAGTCTCCGTGTTTACGGATGCGAGTGACCTTGGATGGGGTCTCGTTGTGACACAGGTGGACACTTGGGACTCTGACCTGCCGGCACACGAACAGCACCACCAGTTGCTGGTATGTAAGAGTGGAATATTCGATACGACCGAACGCCGGTGGAGCGTTATTGAGAAGGAAGCCTACCCTATCATTTGGGCTGCACGCAACCTCGGCCATCTTCTCATCCGCCCGACTGGATTTCGACTCTTTTGCGACCACAAAAACTTGTTGTACGTGCTCTCACCGACGCACGAAGTCAAACGTCACATCCGGGGGAAGCTTCAGCGGTGGGCTTTGTCTCTCACCGACCTGCCGTACTGTATTGAGCATATCGATGGCGAAGCTAGCGTCTGGGCAGACCTTTTGTCTCGCTGGGGTTCCTCGTCTTCAGGAGAGGTGGGGCTACACGTGAAGTGCAAGTTCATGACTCGTAACCAACAACGCATTGAAGATGCAACCAACAACCAGCTTGACGAGCTTAGACCGCGGCAAGGTGATTTTGTTTTTCCTACTCTGGACGCGTTGAAGCAACTGCAGCAGAGAAACAAGCGAAGTGCACCAGAAGTCGTAGACGTTGACGACGATGGTATAATGTCTGTTGAGGGCAGATTCTGGATCCCAGACTCGGCTAAAGAACTACGGCAACGCATCCTAATCGTAGCTCACTGTGGAAGCCAAGGCCACCGTGGCCTGGACGCCTTGCTGACAACCATCAAGAGCATTTTCTTGATCGGTAGTTTGGAGCAGTACTGCCGACAGTTTCTAAAGCGTTGCCGACTGTACAAACACGTGAAGGGTGGCAACGTGATACCACGACCATGGGGGCCAACATACAATGCAACCAAGCGGAATGAGATGTTGCATTGGGATTTTCTGTATCTTGGCGACAGTGTGGGCAAATGCAGATATCTACTTGTCCTGAAGGATGGACTTACACATTTCTGCGTGCTCGTAGCCTGTGACTCACCAACAAGTGCAGTAGCTACTAGTGGATTGGTGGATTGGGCAAAGCGTTTCGGCCCAGCACATATTCTAATTTCGGATCAAGGAAGTCACTTCAAGAACGAAGTTGTACGAATGTTGTGCAGACAACTTGGCATTGAACGAGATCTCGTTTTAGCATATGCACCATGGATCAACGGCACTATTGAGCGCCTGAATCGCGATATTCTCCAGGTCCTACGAGTTTTACTGATGGAGATGAAGTTGGACATACATGAGTGGGAGTACCTTGTGCCAACAGTACAAGGAATCCTCAACCACACTCCTGTAGCATCACTAGGCAATAGATCGCCCGGTGAACCCTTCACTGCATTGCCTCGGTTCTCGCCTTTTGAGGCAGTGCTAGTTGAGCGCAATGGCAAGATTGTTGTAATTACAGAGCCCGCGGATATTCCTACGGATATGGTGGAGAAAATGCAGCTCAGCCTCCAGGAGATGCACAGGGAGGTAGAAGACATTCGCGAGCGTCGCCGCCTGCAGAATATGAATCGCTCTAATGGAGTGCCGTGCAACTTCACTACCGGCGATTTTGTGTTGTGGTCTCGAATTGACTCTCGACTTTCAGTCAACAAGCTGTTGGCTCGCTGGGTGAGCCCATTTGAAGCTGTGGAGGAGCACCCACACTCATACATGATCCGCCACTTGTTAAATAACCAGCGCTATATGGTGCATGGATCCCGCTTGAAGTTCTACCGCGACGGCAATCTTGGAATCAGTGAAGAACTACTTGCACACGTCGGAAACCAAGGAATGGTTCTTGGCGTCAAAAAGATTGAGAAGCATCGCAAATTCCAGCAATCCTGGCAGCTACTCGTATCCTGGGTTGGCTTACAGGACGGGGAGGACTCTTGGGAGCCGTTGCAGTCACTAGTTGGCGATTTACCGGGCCGTGTGGCCGCATACGTCGCTGAAACTGGTGACAATGAGCTTGCACAAGCTGTTTCTTCAATTCAGCAAAGATCCAGCATTTAAGGATGCGTGTGGGGCGAGATATGGGGCAACTGCAACGTGTTGAAGTGCAACTTGACCGGTAACAGTGGTCCCGTCTCATGGGTGGACTGTCTATTTTGGATACGTGACTGATTTCTATCAGATGGTGACTGAATTGTATCCATATGGATTTCGATCGTGCGGCGAAATTTCCTTTATTCATTTCTACATATTTCAGCTGCGGTGGCATGGTGTTCTTGGAGGGCAGTGTAGGTATTTGCGTGGCATGCAGACTATCGGGAATCAAGAACACCATCTCGAAGGACATCATGCCTATTAAGTTGCAGCTACTACATTACTGGTGCTCGACGCTCAAGGCTGTTTCATAACGGTGGGCTACAATACGAGTAGGTAGTCTACTGAACACAGCGATAGGAGTCTAGCCAAAGGAAGCTCACTTCTAAACTTGCAAGCAATAGCACACTAGCATTCCCAGCAAAGCGGAAACTACCACACATGTCCACACAGTTTCATCTCAGTGCCTAGCATTTCATAAGAAGCCCTAGCGTTAGTACACAATAATAGCCTAGTTTTTGCGATTTTGTGTCGCTACCTGGAGTAAACCACCGCAGATCGTACTCGACGACGTCATTAGCAGTCTGGGAAGTACGTGCGCGAGGAGCAGCATAAGCAGTCTCACTCAAGTTGTTCTCCATCGCCACACGCTGCATCCATTTTGAAGCCCCTTCCTTGTGGTACACTGCGGAAGTGAGCAACACCACAGCTGCCGGGTTGTCCTGAAAAGGCTCGCTGGAAAACGCGTCCACCTAAGAAAAACAATACAAGGCACTCAGTATTACCATAAAACATATCATTCACCAATGTATCTAACCTGAATCAGTGGCGGTAGTCTCGCTTTCGCACAGTCCTGCGACACGGATCTTGGCCGTGCACAACCGGCGACAATCGCGTCACGGAGAATCCGTAGTTCACATAGAAGCCAACTAATGTAGCCTTTGAGATGAGCATGATGCGCTTCACGTGAGGCTGCGTGGCGAGTCCCCGACGTCTAAAGGTCAGGTCCACCACCACCGAGTGGATAAAAAGCAGCGATCCGTGTGGGTCGTGTCACTCATGGATTCGTCATCTAGCTGATCTTTGGCTGTCAAAGTACCGTTGAGGAAGCCCAACAGGGTTTCGTATTCTTGTCGAGGTAGGATATGTCCGGTCACTTCAAGCCCCATACAAATATCAAAGAAAAGGTCGGATGTCTCACAATAATGTGCAGATTTCCGGTCACTGTATTATCTTACGAAAAATAAGATGGTATCACAAACGTTAAGATCACAAATAGGCATTGATTTTGGGCGTTGGCGCCCAAAGAAAGGAAGTATGCGCCCTTTACATTGCTAATTGAGGCACTATTAAGATCACTAGATACTCGTTGGGGCCAACATTTGTAATTATTAAAAGAATAGTGGCTTGCAAGTGATAGGCGGAATAACCAATAAACTACGGTAAAGCATAAAAAGCACTGGTGAATGTCGTTCCAAGCCGCCTGGGTCAACATTCACGCTATCTGGTTTTAGGTGGATGTTGCTCCAATATACGATACCACCGATGGTGGGTGGTACATGTACAGTACATGAAGGCTACATGATTTAAAGAAAGGAATAGATAAATACTAATAGGATTCCTATCGAGACCGTCTCGCGTCAAGACAGCAAGGTCGGACGACAACGCACGCTCGACCGCGGCTTCTTCATTTTGGCTAAACTGTATCCTCATACACATCAACCTTAGGACGTAACGCGTAAGTAAGCCCTCCCCCCTCCCTCTCACACACACACTCTCACACACACACACACACACACACACACACACACACACACACACACACACACACACACACACACACACACACACACACACACACATCACACACATCACACACATCAGAGGAAGAAAACAAATTACCACGTCGGGTATTTCAAAGGGAGGACTGACAGTAGAGAAAATGATTCTTGCTCCGCTTCGTCATCCGACTCGCAGGATTCCTCAGCGTTCATCTTTCTATGTCGCCGTCACTCGAGTGATAACGTTATCGCAGTTGTATCTCATGGCCCCCCTTACGAAAGGGTTTTTGGAGTATTTACCTCCTAGTCGTGATGCGCTGGCAGAAACCCAAAGACTTCATGCAATTGAGGATCGAACAGATTAAGAAACCATAATGCTGTGAAAAATTGTTACAGGTCTTCTTTAAAATGCAGTACTTACTTAAGTTAGGGTACCAACTTGTTTGCAAGTTCTCGAAGTTTGGGGATAGCCACTCAAATGAATGACTCTCATTCTCGCTCGGTTTGTTGATGTCTTCTTCTAGACTGGAAGTCTTAGTTAAATCGCAATTCTTCTCCTTTTTTTTTCTTCTAAAAAGTCCTTCATTCCGCACTAGTTATTACTTTTTGAAAATACCGTAATATCCAGAGCTTCACCGGGCTTAGCACGGCATTAGTCTCTCAGAGCCAATTAGCACGTGAAAATGCTTCAGATACATGTAGAAGAAAATAATCGGGTATTTTTCTCGAAAAAAAATGATTAGAATGGGATCAAAACTGAGTCCGGTATGTCCGATCACAATTTGTCCCTTAATATTAAGTTGGCTTGACCGGAAATGTGCACTGACCGGAAACATGGTTCAGACGTATAGGCTAATTGACTAAAAATCGACTGATCTTACAATTTATTCAGTTAGAATGAAGATCTTAGACTTCAAAGTTCGGTTGGTCGGACGGACTGGCAGCTCCTAAAATATGGGACAGCATCCTGTTTTAGTGGTTTTCTTCATTTAAGACATATATTCTCTTTGTAACAGGGTACGTAGCCGCAAGTGTACCCCTGGTTACATGAAGTGTGACACATCAGCACTTCGGGATACCAGGTTCATGGTACCAGGGCCGTCAGCATTGGCAGATGACATAGCTTTACTAAGGATAAGTTATATTTTGTTTATTTAACTCACGCTTAGCCTACCTATAAATATATTCAGCTTACAACTTACCTTAAAGTGGTCACTTCGACAAAAGGAACCTGTGAACTACTGTTCACTGTTCACTGAGCGTTTGTATACTCTCGGAAGCCGACTTCCTCTAGTGCAAGGTGCTTTATGACCCCGTCTCAGCCACAGTGTTATTCTTAGTCTGGTTTGATGCATTGTAACATGAAGTTCACAGGGAATGCATGTCGGATAAGGGACATCAGACAAGATGGATGAGGGCAAGAGGCCCTAAGCTTTCGACACAAGTAGATCAAGTTCTCTATGCAGGTAGCGCACTGCTGTGACGTTATAGTAATATTACAGCTACTTATGATCTCAGCTCCGTTCTTATTATTTAAATAAAACAGGGTGGATCCGGGTGCCCGAAACTTCCTATCGGGTAGTACCCGAGTTGTCCAAGGATGGCCGATTCGGTCTGGCGGGTACTCCGAAATCTGCCACTTGCAAGTCACTGGTAATGTAAATATATGTTGCTTTTCTCCAAAATAAGGCCTCTTGACAACTATCTCGATGCCAGCGCCATCGTCAGAGCTGCACACTTAGTGGTCATTACAGAGTGAGTATGATAGTTTTGAGCATGGTGCGTAAACCCTACACTGTTAGGACTCCCAGATCAAAATAGGTAATAAATACCAGTGAGAAGACAGCCAGAAACCACGTCAAATTATGCATGAGAAAAATTGCCGCTGGTTTCACAGTATGGTAAAGTATGGATCAATATTATGGTACATCCCGCGATATGAATTTCCCTGGATAAAATAAAAGCGGTATCCTTACCTGTTTGTCTGCATCATGCATTTAACTCGCTATCTCCGGCTCAATGGGTGCAAAATCGGGCTTCCTGTGCGCCATTTAAGAAAATTTAAAACCGCAGTAGAGGAAGTGGAAGGTATAAACGCTCCTGCTTGTAGTTGCAATTTGCTTATCGAAGTGTTCGTGCTAACATTAGCTAAGGATTGAGAGCACTACTGAATTTGAGAGCAAGGCATGTTCTAATGAGGGTCATATATCATTAATAGACATCATCATCATTCTGCATTGCATCCCACTACTCGTTGTCGTGACGCAATATGTTAATCAGAGTACATGTACTGCTGTAATCAATTCTCATGTCTCTGTTTAGCGCGATTTTTATAGAGCACTAGCAGCAGCAACATTTCTCACGAGGAGATGCCTACCGAGAGCCCAAGAGCAACCGCCAGATCGAAGGTGGATGAATAGGTGGGCCGATACAATCGCAAAAAAAAAAAGCTGATCATCGAGGGCTGGGCTGAAAACGTGATTTCCATCGAGGCATGACCCTCCGCCAAATAAAGTGGACAATGGTGTGGATACATCCACCGGCATCCGATTCAGTGAGTAAGGCCGGTATCAAAGCGCTCTATTAATCGGCAAACGTTTTACGACGGTTTAGCTGTGTATCCTGACGTGCGTGACCACATAAAGGGCAGCTAAAAACATGTTTTACCGAAAGAAATGAACTTACCAGTTTTTAGAAATGCTGAGTTTCTATCCAATTTGAGAATACGCTGTGTGGCTCAGCAAAAGCGAAAAAAGGGGGAATCGAAGATCCCCTGGTGTCATCTCTCATGAAGCCGCAACGTCCTGATGAAAGTCCTGGAGTCTGAGGAGTCGGTAAGTGCACTAAAGCTGCGTATGGAGAATGAGCTAGCTCATCGATAGCGTCTGTCCATTCATTGTGTGTCGCGACCAGACGACGACACGTGCACGCAACTCAGTGGAGCGTGACATGAAAAAAATCGCTCAAGAGGAATGAAAGCGCGGCGCGGGAGACAAAGGTGATGCAGGAGAAGACAGTGATGTAGCAGCTCGACCGTTTGAAGTCACGGCGGTAGGTAAGATACCAACCGCACAAATAAAGGACAAAATTTCGTCATCGAAGCCAGATCCTGCGCAGAAGCGGAGGTCAACGGAGAAGATGCTGGCGGGTCATGGATACACGAAGCAAGTGGCAATCGAGCATAGTGATAAGCGCTTGGCGTTTACCATCGCCCAGATCTGCATGCCGTTTGGCGAAAGCCTATCGTGGCCGTGCATTATTCGGAAGAAGACGACGCATACGAGCCGGCCAGCTACGACGAGGAGGGTAATGACGTTGAGAACAATGTGTCAATTCACTTGAGCAGGAAGAGGCGCCAGCAGCACTTACGGAGCTCTCAGATGCTGACAAGGTGAGTAAGCAGGTAAAGATCGATATCATCCCGGATACTGGTGCGTCCGGTACAATACAACCCGCGTTTGTACCGAGCGAGGAAACGCCAGAACGGATGATACCGGAGCAACTAAAACAAATCTCCCAGAACGGGAATTCGATCCGACTCGCCCCTTGGTGATGCTGGAGCAGTGACAGTGCTGGAAACCTCTGGAGGCCAAGTTGTCGATGATGAAGGTCATTTATGAAGTAATTTTGCCGTGTTTTCGAAACTTGGAGCGTTACTTTTACGTCTTATCGGATCACACCCGTTCTACGTGATAAATACAATCCACGTGAGCACCATAGAGTTCATGACTTAGGAACAAGTAGATGCAAGAGCGCGGGGCTCCTGAGAATGACCCATTACTATTGCCAGTGCATTTCCCGTACTACTCGTTTTAGTTACTGGGTACACACGAGATTGAGCACCCCAAGAAGAGAAAGGGGAACCGGCAGAAAAACCTTATTCGCAACTAAGGATACCCCACCAAGGTGAAAACTTATTCGAAATGTGACGTTCATCAGGATTGGAAGGTTTATGTTTCATAGCAAGGATCAATCGCACATGCATTTGTGAAGTAAAGAGCTGTTTTGGTATTAATGTGAGGATTGTCGTATTTCGGGCCCTGATACTTTCCACGAGGTCACACGAGGCATTCGGTAGGGCCGTCCGCGAAGGAAAAATGCAGCATCTCCGAGAGGTAACAGATACTATTATGCGTTTCCTTCTTGTGTTGGGAACGAGAGCTTAATTTCAATCGTCTTTCTTGAAGGGAAAGGCATGGATCTTCGCGATGTTCAAAACCTTCTGGCTTCTTTAAAGCGTGAGAAAAGAGGGAGGCAATTCCGACGAAGTTCGCACGGTAGCGTTGCTGTCTGAGTTTCGCAAGCCGGCCAGGAATTTAGCGGCCATGTAAGTAAACAACTCGCCAGCTTTAGCGGACACGGAATGCTTTCAAACGCTTAATCAGAAGTGGTTATTTAAAGCTTTAGCTTGTGAATACAACGCACGGTACTAACACAAGTTCTTTAATATTGTAGTCGACGATGTCTTCGGGAAGGTAAACCGTTTTTCCATTTGTTGTGTAGGTTCGAAAATATTACCGGATGAAAAATATGTTGTACGTTTTGCATCAGTACCGGAATCTAACAAACCCAATTTTGGTGGGGTTTTGGAATTACTCAAAGGGTCAATATATCCGTCACAGAAGAATATTCGTGTGACGGTGGCCCACAATAATTTCAAGGAGAAAACATTCTCGCCGAAGCCTTCCCTGCAGCCAGGCAGATCATTTGCCAATTCTATGTTATCGACTATCTGATAATCCAGGTCAGGCGTTTGATTTTAATCCTTGCCAAGCTCTTTGGACCGAATGTATTGTAACCTATAGGTTGGAGCCAGACGCAGCCGGAGAGCTGATGTCAAGAAGAAAATAATTAGTGCGTTGCCATTAATGATGAAAGCTAAAACTGCAAGGATGCACAATACGTATCGAGATGACATGATGCGCTATGCCTACAACAAGAAAGACCCATTTCTCCAGTACTTTGAATCTAATTGAGAGACATGCAAAGAGGAGTGGTTCGCGTACCTCCGTTATAATGTGCCCTTCCTGAACAATCACACCAATAACCGGATTGAAAGTGGCTTGGGGGAAATCAAACATGTGATGACAGGAAGGACCTTATTGACGATCTCACCAGTACGCTGGATGTGCTACAAGAGAGGTATGAGGAGCGGTACATGAAGGGATTTCGTTGATTGAGAGGTCGTCAGGTTCTAATTGCTCATTAAGCAGCTGACCACGGCTGCTGGCCCTCTAAAGTCGAGCGAGCGCGCTGTCGCAACTCATGCGGGATCCATACTAGTACGCATACATCCCCGACACTCCATATGAAGTCGGATCGACGTAAAGTAGCAAAGAACTTAAATAGTGGCCCATTGCTCCATGAATCCGATAGCTGTACACACCATTTGGCCTGCCACACTTGCGGCCTGTGTCACGTCTCAAAATCTGCCGTTACAATCGGACACCCCTACGCACGCAAAAGCGAATACCTGGTTGTACGCGTGAATGCTGTCGCGGAGGTGGATATCTTCATACAGCCGGAGTAGTGCGCGTGGGGCCGAATTTAGCGGCGGTAGCTTAACCTTGCGTTGAAAACAGCAAGCGTTTAGCGACTCCCCTGGCCACTTCCACGCATTACATTCAGGGCAATCCGTTGTTGGAGGCAACAGCTACCGACCATTGACAATGATGGGCCCGGTAACCATCGCCACGTCAAAACCTTCATGATTTGGAAGGGCGTCTCCACGGCGGGAACGGCGACGGCTGGTGCGTAAAACCTCCGGATTGTCTTGATGCTCTTCTTCAGCTCGTTGCACTCCCGTCTCCGCATCCTGCTGTCAATCGCTCTCCTGTAAGATGCCAAGAGCCTCTCGGGTAAGCACATCTCTATGCCTTGTATGGAACTCTCCGTTTGAAGCGTGTGTTGCCTCCCTCTCCTCTTCGTTTTGATGCAACCGGACGTCTGCCCGTGCTAAAGCAATTTGTTGGCGGGATCGTTCCTGCTCCGCAGGCGTACGGGGACGCTGGCTTTGCTCTTAGACCACTCGATACCTGTTGCGCTCATCGCAAAACCGCTCTTCTCGAAGTTGTACTCTGCGAGCTCGTATCCTTTGGGCACCTCTGTGTATGACACAAGTGCGCTGTGAGGAGCGCATCCTCGCACGCCGATCTCTAGCTCGCTGTGTCTCTACCGATCTGGTTGATGATGCATGAACCAATGAGTCGCCAAATGCTGCGCTTTCATGTTGAACATGCATCCTCACTATATATATATATATATATATCGTTCTGTCCAGTATGTAATCACAGAGGACAGGGCATTAGTCATAATACCAGTGCCACACTAACGCTCTAATACACAAATAATGCAAGACGACGTATCCGATAGCACCAAACGATCTGCTAAGAATCACGTTCCGACAGCACGCAGCGAATTGTTTTTGGCAAACACAGGTCGTAGACAGAAACAACAGTTTCGAACAGCAGCCGAGTGTCTCCTTAGTTTTTTTCAGGTCCGTTAACCTTTTCGCTTTCGCTTCATTGCTGCTCCCTCAATTCCACTGTTACCGCCACTGAAGCATCCCTGAATTGTTGGTAAGGCTCCATACCTGTGAAGTCAGAGCTTCAGGCTCGTAGTGCTGAAGCGCGAATCGGTACCACATATTTGTACTTTTTTTCTTTTATAGGTCGCTTCTTTAGCCAACGGTGGTCTACCGCTCGCGCTCAATATTACTGGGCCGTTTTGGTCCATACAAATAATATTTTTGGTTGTGATGGGGTACTGAGACATGCTATGTTGTGCGCATGTTAGCGGTTTGGTCAAAAACATCATAGATGCCGCAGGGGGCTAAATTAGCCTCCATTTGTCTTACAAAATATCCTGTACTCTGTATTGTCCGCATATTAATCCCAAATACGCGGCGTCGTCAAGCTAGTCTCTGCTTTTCGCGACGGCGATTGATCAGTCCTCTTTGGATTGAAAAACATGCGCTAAGCGGCTCCAATTTTAGTCGCTAAGGTTGACCGTCGCGGCCTCAAAAGGTAAGCCATTAGCCCTCATCTGACTGTCCGCATACGCTTCGCCACGGGATCGGGAGCTCCAGGAGATGTTTCCACACTAGCTCTGCCACAACCTGCGCTTCAGCACCGCGGCACCGAGGCGCCTAGTTTTGCCCCCGGCATATTAGGAAGTCTCATACGAACCTGGGGTACTAGGATGGGTACACACGGCGAGAAATCCGGTTTGTCGGGTAGTCTATCCTTGCCTCGGACCAGCTGTCCCGGCCCTTGGGGTGGGTGCTGGCTGTAGCCTTTCAAATCACGGGATTTGGGTACAAAAGCTACAGTATTCAAACTAAAAAAATGACCAAAGTACCCGGAGTGGATGGCGATTTGCAAAATGGGTAATGCTGTAGAGTCGGGGCAAACTGCCTGGCGTATATGCTCTCGGGAGGGTCTCGCCTATTGGCCGTGTCGTGGCGCCCACCCGAGCCCCGCAAATGACCTGTCAGGGTTCCTTCGCAGACACCAGCTCACCCATATTTTGTACCTCAAACCTTGGCTGCCCTGAAGGTACCAGCTATCCTAAGGGCGAAACTTCCGAAACCGTAAAATTTAAAAATACATGCATTGGATACTTACAAACCGCTACCTACGTTCACTGCAACTCCCGCTCGGCGCTCGATTCGCACTCGCACGCGCCATTCGTTAGTTGTATGTCGCCGCCGCGTAATGAAAGAAGCGCAAATATATAAGCCAATCAGCGGGCGGTAGTAGTACTCAGCAGTATTTATCCTCAAATTTGATAAGTCAGTGACCGGAGCCGCCTTCGTTTCGCTCGGTAGCATTTTGTCCATTGAGAAGTGTGTATTTGTGATACGGACGGAGTCACCGAGAGCCAGACATGTTGGTAAAATAGTGTTTTAGATATGCATAACACTTTTGATACTACACTGTATTATTAGTAGCATTACGCAAATTAACACGCTATCTCGAGCTCGAGGAGAGGTGCCTGTGGGCACTGCCCTTCGAAAAGATATCCGCTACTCATCCAGTTAAAGTGCACTGGAAGCACAGCTGTTACGTATCTCCTTCAGTGGATATTGCCGCGGGAGTTATGATGTCTGGTCATATTTGTCCAATGGACGACGGACAAATATTTTTTAGGTAGCCCTTCCTAACCCTATTGTAATAAACGTTATGTTATTTTCCATTATTAGCCTCACTTCTCAGCCTACGCGTAGCCCTAATCGCAATTAAAATTTATTTGTAGTATAAGGATAGACTGAAGTGTTGTTATTTAATTAAAGGGTCTGGATAAAGGCATCAAACAGGGCTAGGGTGAAAATGTAGGGGTCATACAACATATCTCAGCTCATCCGAAACGGGGTTTAATGAATTCGTGCTCTAAAGTGTAAGTGATTCAGAGGTTGGCGTGGGCATGATCTAACTGGCTATATTCAGAGCCGTGTTGGTGCTGCATCGATCATTCAGGGAGCTACTTTGGTGATAATGTTGTTGCCGCTCCTGCTGGCTTTAACCCCTCCTCCACCCCCCCCCTCCTTCCGGCCCGGCACGTTTTGGCTCCCGCTGTTAAGCGAAACCCTAGTTACATTATCGTGTCCCCGCACTATAGATTTGCAATACAAACTAAAAGATGTTTACTAGCACGACTATTAAGCTAAACCTACCCCATTGTAGAACAGACCTATAATCATGTATTGAAGTACATAAGATACGTTAGTTTTGGCTTCGTACATGATACTAGCCTTTACCATGTATTGGTTGCGTAGAAACAGAGCGCTCAAGTGCTATGGACGCGTACACCAGTACAAAGGCTTTGATTTATTTTTCAAAAATATAAAAGTATAGCCAGCTATAAAGTGACAATACTTAGATCAAGGCATTATTGCGCGAAGTAGCAGCTGTTATTACGACATCACCGCTCGCGACGTGACTTGCTGGGCCGGCTGAGTGGGCCCAGCGCTGTCAGTGCTGACCCCTTTCTGCGGCTGAGCTCGAATGCGTCACTTGCCGCCAGCAGGGTGCCGTTCCTCCAGCACTCACGCGAGATATCGATGCAGGGGCGTGACGTTCCGCCGTATTTGTGTTTAACCTTGTTGCACAAGAAGACCCTGGGCGACTTGCCTTTCCGGCACCTTGTCAGCACGCAAGTAGAGCAGTAGATAGCCGTATCGCCGCCACTAATTTTTTCCTTCAAGATCAAGTATACTTTGCAAGCTCGTTGGCGTTGCTTTGTACTGCCGTCCGTATTTCTTTTCTGCATTTCCTCGGTAAGAACATGAGTACATGCCATAGCTTCCGTAGTGGCCTTTCGCTTGATTGGAGTCCCCGGAGGCCTTGGGTGCGACGCACAGTACCCCAGTCGGATTCATCGAGCTGGCACAGCTCGGGATGCAACTGTTTCAAAAACCGATGTGCAAGGCCTTGGGTTTACGCACAGCTTTGCGTGCTTGATGGAACACGTGATAGCGAGATCCACGAAGCCAAGAAATAAGCTTCTACAATACGTTTTGTAGCGCACAGCTAACGGGAGAGGGTACGTAATACAACATGTCCAATACCCGATATTAGTTAATGCTAGCATGCCTTATACACGATAATAAAAGTAGCGTTTGTAGTCGCAGCTGGCCGTGAACGTCGACGCCGTCCATGAACATTTATATAGCTCTTCAGTACTCGCGGGCATGCCACTTTGGTCTGCTCGCCCGACGAACAACTCGGTCCTGCTCAACGCTCACTCCAGTGCACACCATTTGCACCGCTCTGTTTTCCCACCACTGCAGCATTTTGAGATCGGGTACCTGGTTGGACGCTGTGTATGTGAACGTCCCTCGGTCAATATGGGCTGGCCGCTGCTTCTTTTTCTTCATAAGGA